TATTTCTGCCTTCTGGCTGTTGTGAGTAATGAACGCTGCCCTCTTTCCAGCTACATGCCTCAGTGTCGTCCTTTGGAAACAAGGATAGTGAATATTTTCTTATCCTACGCTGGGGTAACAAATCACTCCAGAGCTAGCAGCCGAATATAACATAGATTCCCTTACTTTGGAGCTCAGAACTTTGCAACAGAGCACCCTAGTGAGATGCCAGCAGAGCTGGTGCTTAACAGTGGCTTCGGGCTTGGAGTAGTTTCTTGCCCCTTTCTGCCTCTTGAGCTTGCCTGCAGCCCTGGCTTGTGGCTCTGTTCTCTATCTTCATCGCCAGCCATGACCATCTCCCAGTTACAGGTCAGTGCATCCATCGCACCTTGCCACACAAACTAACATATGCACAGGTCTGAGGATGGCGATATTTGGGGGAACTGCTGTTCTATGACAAGACAGCCATGCTTTCCTCAGATGGTTGCTCCAAGGCGTATCCATATTTCTAAATGCAGTCCATCCCTGTAGATGGAAACTCATTTACAAGGCAGCACCATTCATGGATTCAGCAAACACTTGCTGAGTTTCGAGTTAATGAAACAAAGCACAGTGGGTACTTTGAGCCTGGTGCCCAGTATGCACTCAGCAAACATACCACAATCACCCTTGTGTAATCTCTTTTGACAATCGGTCCAGGAGTGAGAGCTCAGCTCTTGGTCTGAACTTTCTGAGATCTGCCTTCTGAAATTCAGGGAAGTACTGCTTTCTTTTCTAACTACAACAAGCAACGTGTCTTCCCTGCAGAGGTCTCCCTGGGACTCAGCTGTCTTGTAGGGTCTGTCTGGCTACCTCCCCCTTGCAACTCACCCCATGGCTTCCTGCACCTGGGCGCAGATCAAACACCCTGGGCTGGGACCAAGGTCAGTAACTCCTTTCCTACTCTGGTTCTAACAGCAGGGTTGAGGCTCCATCTGCAATCTGGGTCGGGCTCCGTTTGGTCGGGCATCCTCTTCACTGATGGCTGGCAGCACAACTCCACACCACCTTTGGCTGTCCAGGCCCCTGCACATTACGTGCCTGCCAAGCTGTCTAGCAGGTCCCAATCCGGACCCAGGAAACGTGTTTTTAGAGCGGCTTCCATCTACATCACTACTACACTCATGAAGGGGCCACCTCAACTAATACCATTGAGGGAAGTGATTTCTTATGGGTGAGGTCCCGAGCTTGATTTCTACCCAAGTATTAACTGAAACCATCTAAGCCTGCTCAAGTCTTGTGTGAAGTCCAGGGGCAAACCTCGCGAGGTCTCTGTTCCCGGGCTGTCCATCACACTGCGCCATATTTGCATGTACACTGTTTTCAAGTCTCCCCTTTGTCTCTTCGGGTGACCAGGACACTAACACCTTCAAGAGGGCAGCACCAGAATTGCCCAGCCATTTCCTAACTGGTTAGAAAACCACCAAGGGGGAACGTCTTCTGCAAGTTCCTGCTCAGACAAGGAGGAGAGAGAGAACTTAAACACCCCAGACATTTCCTGAAACCAATCTCTCCTTTCAGGAGGCACCCCCTCCTGGATTCCTCCTGGGAGGTGCTTCCCATTCCTTCTTCCCACATTCACTTGTTTACTTCACAAATAAAATTTCTGCTCAGCAATTGATTCCTGGATTTTTATTTCTATACTAAGCTGAGGATAGAATCCACCAAGTTTTGCTGGTAATATTAATGATCATGAACTTTACCACATATTGTCTTTTATTATACCTGATTCTCAGTTTTAATACAGTTCTCTCTTCCCATGGTCTAACTGGAAACCATGCTTGAAATGCTGGGTTGGATCAGACACTGACCTTGGTGACAGAAATTCACTGCTTGGTTTGGAAGCTGCCCTCCAGTCCTGGCTCAAAAAGGAGGCCCAATCCTCCCCAAAGCCAAGGTCTTTACTACACGGCCAGTATGGCTGGGGACACGGGAGCCTCACATACTAATGCCTTCAGGGCCCGAAACAGCAAATGGGGCCTGGGTTTAGTCTCTAGATCAGAAGGCCGGGCTTGGCTGGGCCAGGCTGTGCTGGGCTAGCTGGAGGTCACTGGGAAGGAAGTTCAGGAGTTTGGTGGAAGTTGGGACCACAGCAATGGCTGAGACTGCCTGGGTCTCATGGTTCACACAGGTGCACTCGCACCTGCCAGGCCTCCTATTAGTCTCTACTCCCGCAGGCAGTGAGGATAAGCAGCTTATTTCCATCTGTGGAAGTGCTTTCTGTCCAGACCTTCACATTCTCTGCCACTCACCTTAGAGCTGTACTGCCTCCTGCCCCAACTCACCCAGCAGCAGACGGGCACACTGGAGGCCAGCAGCTCCAGGACTTGCTACTGAATGTGTCCTTGTGCGTGTGAGGTGGAGGTTACAGACCCCAGTCACACTCAGGTCCTCCACCTGAGAGTGAGGACATACCTCTCCTCCTTACCATTGATGGGAGTACAGCTCATCCAAATGTCACGGCTGCCTCCCTGAAGATACCCCACTCTGCGGCCCAGTGTCATGAAGCAAAGCTTTTGTCCTCTTCCATGGAAAGGCTTGGCATGCACTGGGTCTAGCGTGATGCCCTTCCGCCACCTCAGAACTCAATTCTCATCATCCTGGGTTCCTCTGGGGTTCGTTCTGTCATCTGGTTAAGGACTACCTCCCCTTGACAATGAACCTGACAAAGGAAGGTGCACACTTCCAGCCAGTGCAGGGGAGCCACCTGGCCAGAGCCTCCTCCTGTAGCCCAGTGTTGCCATCATGGCTCTTTCCTGCCCTCAGTGCCACCTGTCAGACCCCCTAAGGAAGAAGCCAAGCATCTCCTGGCTTCCCTGAGCCCCAGTAAAACTGCCAGCAGCTGCAGGCTCTCCCGCCTGGTTATACTGTCACTTTGTAAGGTTCCTTAGGAATCTTGCTAATGCCAAGTTTTCACTAACCATACCCTCTCAGTGCCAGGGCATGCCAGACAGAGAGCTGATGATTCAGCAGCCTGGCTAGCAACGGCACAGGGGAGAGCAGTAGTCTGGCGCATTCCTTGGACTTTGTCATTGATTTTATGAATACTTTTTCCATGGTTTTGACAAAAACATAAATGTAAACACATGATATATAACAACTCTAAAATAGACAAAAGTAAGGCTTATATGTCAAGAGTACAAATTTCAAAGGAGGGGCTGGCACCATGGTATAGTAGGCTAAACTTTCATTTGTGGCACCAGCATCCCATACGGGCATCATTTCATATCCTACTGCATCGCTTCTGATCTAACTCCCTGCTGGTGGCCTGGAAAAGCAGCAGAGGATGGCCTAGGTATTTGGCCTCTGTACCCACACGGGAGACCCAGAATAAGCTCCTGATTCCTGGTTTCATTGTGCTCAGCCCCACTCATTGTTGCTATTTGGGGAGTGAACTAGTGGATGGAGGATCTCGCTCTTTTTCCTCTTTTAGTTGCCTTTCAAATAAAAACAAAAATAAAACTTTAAAAACATTTCAAAGTTAAAGTGAAAAAATAGTAGGCTAAGATGAATGGGCTTAATCAGTTACATGCAGGTTGGCAATGATTCCATTCACATGCTGGGAAGAGAACTGTGAGGTGAAGGTCCTGTAAATTTCCTAATTACCTTAGCTTTTTTTTTTTTTTTAAGATTTATTTGTCTATATTGAAAAGGCAGATTTACACAGAGGAAGAGAGACAAAGAGAAAGATCTTTAATCTGCTAGTTCACTCCTCAAATGGCTGCAATGGCCAGGGCTGAGCCGATCTAAAGCCAGGAGCTTCTTTTGGGCCCCTCACGTGAGTATAAGGTCCCAAGGCATTGGGCCACCTTCTGCCTTGGGCCACACATCCCAGAGGCGGGCAGCCCTGGGCATTTGCTGGCAAAGTCATGACTTTTCTCCTAGAGCGAATCAGCAAAGGCCAAGCCGAGGTCAAGTTCAGGAGCAGACCCGGCAGGGTTTGTATTCACCAGAGCACATGCTGGCGGCAAAGAAGGAGGAAAATCCACCAGAGCAAAATGACAACAGCAAATCTGTCATTCTGTCCAGAGTGTTCTATAAAAACGCAATTGTGTCGGGCCCGGCACGGTGGCGCAGTGATTAAGGTCCTCGCCTTGCACGCCCGGGATCCCATATGGGCACCAGTTCTATCCTGGCGGCCCCGCTTCCCTTCCAGCTCCCTGCCTGTGGCCCAGGAAAGCAGCAGAGGACGGCCCAAGGCTTTGGGACCCTGCACCCACGTGGGAGACCCGGAAGAGGCTCCTGGCTTCGGGTCGGCGTAGCATTGGCCGTTGTGCTCACTTGGGGAGTGAATCATCGGACGGAAGATCTTCCTCTCTGTCTCTCCTCTCTGTATATCCGCCTTTCCATTAAAAAAAAATAATAAAAATAAATCTTTAAAAAAAAAAAACCCGGGCCCGGCGCGGTGGCGCAAGTGGTTAAAGGTCCTCGCCTTGCACGCCTGGGATCCCATATGGGCACTGGTTCTAATCCCGGCAGCCCCGCTTCCCTTCCAGCTCCCTGCTTGTGGCCTGGGAAAGCAGTCAAGGATGGCTCAAAGCCTTGGGACCCTGCACCCACGTGGGAGACCCGGAAGAGGCTCCTGGCTTCGGATCGGCATAGTATCGACCCGTTGCGCTCACTTGGGGAGTGAATCATCGGACGGAAGATCTTCCTCTCTGTCTCTCCTCTCTGTACATCCGCCTTTCCAATAACAAAATAATAAAAATAAATCTTTTAAAAAAAAAAAACCGCAACTGTGAGCTGTCAACATGTCAGCCTGTCGCCAGCCCAGCCCTCAGACTCAGCCTCAGGTAGCAGGGCTCTCTACACATCCCGTCTGACACCGGCGATTGGGGTGGGGGTTGTCTGGGAAGGCTACATGAGGCCCTGTTCATCCCAACAGCATGGGCTCAGTCTTGTGGCTTCTAGGCCACGAGAGCAGTGCCCTGCCCGCTCCCCCTGCTGGCACCAGCCTACCCGCCACTGCGTCACTACAGTACCTGCCATTCCTGGTATCATGTTGCCGCATATTCTTGATGAAATGGATCTTCTTAAAATTCTTTGGTCTGGGTGAACCTGAGAGAGTTCGGCATCTGAAAAATAAACAGAAAACACAGTCAGCTAGCCGCCTGTGGGTCATCGCAGAGATGGGAAACAAAGACCAATGGGCACAGGGATGGGGCCATTCCATGGCAGGGGGTCGCCTGGGACCATGAAGATGAACGTGGCTGGATGCCAAGGGAGCTTAAAAAATCCTGAAAGACATTATGCCTGATGAACCCGACAGTGTTTGATGGGAGTCTGGCAAGTTAGCTGATAAAAACTCTTGTCTTTGGCTGAATTCATCTACGGACTTCAATGACATTATTCTCCATTGTCATCTAAGAAAGCTGTTCCCAGGTCAACGCAGAACAAAAACTGTAACTGCAAAGATTTAGGGCGGGAAGGGGGAGATCCCTGCAATAGGCACAGTTTAAAAGCAGCCTGGGCTCACTCTTGCTCTGCGGCAGATCTTAGCTTGAACCACTCAGAGAGCTGCCTTGTCCCCTGCTTGAGCGTGCCTGAGCATGCCTGGGCATTCAGACAGAACTAGAACACAGATCAGAGACCCAGCTGCTGTTATTTTTAGATAAATTTTAGTTTCGCTGGACTAAAGTGGCTCAGATTCAAAAGATCCTTTCTTATTTTCTTGGAGTATACCACCTTGGCTCGCACTAAGGGTTCACCCAAGGTGGATCGAGAGCTCATCTGTGTCTTTGTGCAAGTCAGTCGTCCAATCTGCAAGTTACAAAACTGCAGCGCTACTGCCACCAAAGCAAGAAACCCAACGAGCAAGTCTGCTCTCTTCTCCATTGAGGGTGCTGTGATGTTTCTGCTTGGGTTTTGGCACCTCTGGGCCCTGTCATCCCGTGACATGGGTGTTCCTAATCTCGCGCTTCAGATGGAGAGTTGTAGAGAGAGCAGCTCCCTGGCTCTTCACAGTGCTGCCACAGAGACCTGCCTGGGGCCATCCCGGGGATACGTATACTTCAAGTCAGGTAAAGGAACAAAAGGATGACCCAGCAAGGAGGCCTGGCTAAGGGGCAGGTGGCTTTCTTTGGGACAAGGGGACTGCATGGGCCATAGGTCCCTAGCAGAAAGGCCCCATTGGCTGCTGTCCACTACACCAGCTCAAGGAGCTCCAGCAGAAGCTGTGGTTTCCAGGTCTCCATCTGCACATTCACTATCCACCTGCACATTCCTCCATGACTAAGACTTCCCATCCTTCCCTGCTGCCATGAGGGTTTGCAAAGTGTTTCAACATGTCCTCTGTACATGTGCACGATCAGATACCTGTTGAAGTGTCATCACCATCATCATCATCATCATCATCATCATTATCAACAACAGATTATCTGTACCAAGCAGTTCCTATTTGCCTCTTACATTACTACAAATTAGCCCTTACTAAAGGCCTGGAGTTCTTGGCTTTCTTTATTATCTATTTGGGAGAGAGAAACATGCCCTCATCTCCTGCTTCACACCCCAAGTGGAGGAGGCTAGGCAGGGTCAAAGCCAGGAGCCAGGAACCTGACAGAGGTTTCTTCCATGGGAAGCAGGTATGCAAGTACCTGGGGTACCCCGAGCTGCCTCCCAGAGTGTGCATTAGCTGGGCTTGAACTTGGGCATGCCGAGATGGATTGCAGAGGTCTTAACCGGCAGCTGGACTGCCAGATCAAACGCCATCCTGAGCCCTTGGATTTCACTGAAGACTCTCACAGACCTGCAAAGCTCTGCTTCCGGACCCTTAGCAGGTGCTTCCCACGGGCTTCAGAGGTACAGGGTGAGCCAGTGCCTTCCAAGGCCTTCCCACACCAGGCTTCCAAATCCAGACTTCACTGGCTCAGGGTTCAAGGGAACAGAACCTCACTCTGAATACAGATGCAGACAGTCCTTGCCCCGCTAAACTGCACTAGATCCACTTCCAGAGTGACTGCTGGTGTCTACAGGTCACTCGAGGTTCCCAACTGTCTGTTACATAAAAGGTTCTGGAAACACAGGGCTGCTAGAAAGAAGAGCCTCTCTGAAAACATAAAGTGTTGTATCTCCAGGGGCCAAGGGCTCCTGAATATCCTCGGGTGGTTACAGACCTGACCCAACAAGAGCAGAGCACTGGGGCTGGCCAGTCTGAGGGCAGTGGGCTGTGAGCTAGTGAGTGTGTGCATGCCGGTGGTCCACAGATATGCCACAACAGCAAATCCTGGCACCTTCCTCCTCCCACCTCCCATCTGTAGGAAGCTGGTACAGATGCCAACACAGAGGGAGGATGGCCCTGCCCTGAGCCTTGCCCCAGGGCACCAGCAGAAAGAGCGACATCCCACACTGGCCTTCCTCTACAACTGGAAGCCAGTAGCCATGGAAGGGCCACCCCTCCCACCTCAACAGGAGAAGCAGGTGGTGCCAGGAACACCCATCACAGCAGCAGCAGCCACCAACACCCACCAACCCAGACTGCCTGGCAAACCAGAGCAGGTGCTCACGGCAGTCCCACCTGCCTAGACAAAAGAAGGTTTTCCTCCACATTGGGTAGAGTCGTCCTCAATCCTCATTATTAGGATTCCAGGTAACCCCGGGCAGGTGGTACAGTGCTCTCTGGGAGCCCTGCGAGGATCCAGGGAGCAGAGTGGCCAGTTGCAGTACAGGCAGAGATCTGGCTTTCCTGCATAACTTACCTCAGGGTCTCCACTCCACACCACACCCAGGGCTCGCCAGCGGCCTTATGCTCAGCAAGCGGTGTGCTGTCTTACCTTTTTTAAAGCCCTCAACTAAATCACCAGCGCCTCTAAGAAAGGAGAATTGCGAGAGGGTGGCAATAGCAACAATTGCCAAGGAGACTGCAGCACTGGGAGCCCGGGTTATACAGGTTAGGAAAACAACAAATTCATCTCAAAGTCTCCCGCACCATGTGCAAACATCCCTTTAAGACACATATGGTGAGGGATACAGAAATTAAATTAGGATGGAATTAAAAACTAATTTAATGAAAGATTAGTGCTTCCTTGTTAGCACTGATTACAGGATACACTTAATTATGGGAAAGGTTGAATTAATGCCTGGGAACCTTTTCTTCTATGCGCCCAGCTGAAAAGCACGGCAGGCAAGCCAGCTTCCACCCCCACAGTTCCCCAAACACTTGGGTACCATGTCGGTACCTGCCCTTCACAGACTGAAAAGAACCTCAGCCAGCAGCTTGTTCGGCCCTCCCATCTCACAGATGGGAAAACCAAGGTCCCGGAGACCGAAGTGGAATTTTCAAGGCTACATGCCCCCTTCTAGGAGTCCGGCCAAGAATTCAGGTCCCTGGACGGCTAAAGGATTCCCCCTCTTCTGCATCACACAAATGTTATTTTATAGGATACAAAATACTGCTAAATAACTAAAAGGGATTTTTGTAACTTAAAAAAAAAGTCCATTTTGGGGATGACGAAGGCTCCTCAAGCTACCAGACTCCCACACTTTTCTGTTGACACAGGAGGGGTTTGATATGTAAGTCAAAAGAGGATGACATTGCTGGTAAGGTGGTGAAGCCATTTTTACTTGGCTCATTGGCCAGGTCGGGCAGGATCAAGAACTTCCATAATTGGTATAGAAAGTGCTTAGAGAATTGAAAATAAACCTGCCATAGGACCCAGCTATCCTCCTCTTAGGAATATACCCAAAGGCAATGAAAATTGCTTATGAGAAGGGGATCTGTAATCCTAAATTTATAGCAGAGCAATCTACAATAGCAAAGACACGGAAACAATCCAGACGCCCATCCAAAGAGGAGTGGTTAAAGAAACTGTGGTACTTCTACTCCATGGAATATTACTCAGCCATTAAATAGAAATAAATTATGCCATTTGAAACTAGATGATCCCAACTAGAGACCATTATGCTCAGTGAAATAAGTCAATCCCAAAAGGGCAAATACCATATGTTCTCTCTGAAATAAGGAAACCATCACACAAATTGTAAGTTCAATAACCCTTTTCGTACTGTTTTTGCAGCATCCCATGTGTTTGGATGTTTTTAATTTCACTTTCATTTCTTCCAAGTACTTTCTTTTCTCTTGTCAAATTCATCACTGTCTGATGCATTGCATGGTGGCATCATTTTCCCCAAGAGGATTTTGTGTTTTCTTTTTGCCACCTATGCATTGGTTATTCAGTGACATGTTTTTTGACTCCATGATGCTATATTTTTTTCTTTTTGTTTCTGTTTTAGCTTCATACCTGTTGTTGACTTTGTTTTGTGGCTTCTCATTTAAGGGGATGTGTAGTGATGGAGTAACAGAGACTATCATATCCAGATGTGAAGATACAATGCAGCCCTACTTCCAAACCAAGGATGGACTCGCAATGAAACTGTTGGACATATCTAGACAATGGGATGCTGGACTGACATTGTCTGTACCAGCAATGTTGGGGTACACTTAAATAATGGACTGACGGGGATTATGAGTCCTGATGAAGGACTATACTATTGTAACAATATGAGGAGAATCAGTCAGGGGTGGGAATTGTGGGAGGGAATCCCAGACTCTCTGGAATTGTATCATAAAATTCAAAATTAAAAAAAAAAAGGAAGAAAAAAAGAACTTCCACGACTTCTGCAAGTCTTTTGGATTCACATGGAATTTGGGACACATTACCTCCGGAGAGGGGCATTCTCCTCAATGTCTTCCAGGGTCTCCAAGGATGATCGCTGGGAGATGAGGCGACGGCTGCAGAGAGAACAAAGCCACAGGTCACACACCTCTGCCAACTGAAAGCTGCCCTAAGGAGAATCAAGGATTGCAGGATGGGAAGGCTGAGACCGAGGCTGCTTTAAGACATGGGCCCCGGGCTGTCCAGCTAGCCATGTGTTCTTGTTGACCAAGGGAGACTTGGCAGTGATTCAGAGGGAGACCCACCCTTTTCGTGTGATATCCCCAAAAGATTAAGAACCCAAGTGCTAACACAGTTCCACTCAGGAAACAATCAGCTGTGGTCAGAACCGGACAACTTAAACATTCAGGTTTAAAGCCACATTCAATGCAACCCTCAAAATCATTAGACTGCAACTAACAAGTTCTAGTCTCCAGAAGGTCATGATTTCAAAAACAAAGAGAGATAAGAAATCAGGGGTCAGGGTTGTTGTTCAGATCAACTGCTGACTGCAAGGCCAGAAGCCCACCTGGGTTTTAGTTCAAGTCCTGGCTGCTCTGCTTCCAATCCAGCTCCTCGCTAATGGCCTGGGAAAGCAGTAGAAGATGGTCCAAGGTCCTAGGGTCTCTATGTGGAGTTCCTGGTTCCTGATTTTGGACTGGCCCAGTTCCAGCCATTGTGGCCAGTTGGGAAGTGAACAAGGGGATGGAAGATCTCTTGGGCTCTGTATCTGACTTTCAAATTTGTATATATATGAAAAGCAAAGTTACAGTGAGAGAGAGAGAGAGAGAGAGAGAGAGCGCTCTCATCCACTAGCTTACTCCCTAGATAGCTGTAATAGCAACATTGGGTTAGGAGCTCCATCTCAGTCTGCCACGTGAGATTAGGGGCCCAAGCACTTGGGCTATTTTCCACTGCCTTCCCAGGCACATTAGCAGGGAGTTGAATTAGAAGTGGAGCAGCTAGAACTCAAACCATATGGGATGCTTGTGTTACTGACAGTGGTTTTTACCCAGATAGCATCAGCCCCAATAAATCTTCCCCTCTCCACAAAAGGGAAGAAATCATGCCTTAGGGAGCATTCTGAGGCCAGGCAGAATGATGATACTCTACATGACCACGCTCCCCTGCTGCACCTCCTGGTCATGCCGGTTGCCACAGCCCCTTCCCATCAGATGAAACTGAGAGCAGGCCCAGCTTCAAAAAGAACAGCTGAACTGGAAAGTGTGGGATTTTAAACAACTCCCCTTGACCAAGGACCTGGGTTTCAGAGTGCATGCTTCAACACAGTGCAATACATTGAAAAAGTTGGACAGGTTTTTACTTTAAGGGGAAAAAAAAGGACCCAAAATACAAATAGATGTCTATTTTCTAGTGCAACAGCCAGAATTCCAGTTAAGAACATGTAATTATAACCATGATGATGTAATTTGCTCTAAAAAAGCAAGTTTTTTTTTTGGATGTGTGCTCTTTCTGACCAGTTACCCCGACTCTTTCCACTTCAAGCTTTACTTTCAAAGACTGTCAGAAAGGTCACCCTGGCAAACCAGTCAAGGGGTCCATCCATCATTCCAAGAGCCTTTCTTAATCTTTTGATATCTGAATCCTTTTGAGAGCACCCCTCACATCTTCTCTTTGTCTTACAAAACTGTCCAGTAGCAGCAATCTGCCCGCTGGCCGCCCAACAAAATCTATTGGATTTCCACCTCTACGTGGCTATCATATGTCTAACAGTCACCTAAAATTGTCTAGAGACAGGTATGGATGCAACCTTATTTGACACGCATCTGACTCATCAGTGCACAGTCCTCTCCTGGGCAGCCCTGAAACTGCAGGCACTCAGTCCTCCATGTCTCCTGGAACAGCACCACGCTGAGGCAGTTCTGAGGCACCCGGGCCATCATGTGTGGTGCAGCCTGTCTGAAGCTCCAGCTGAGATGCAGTCTGTCTGATGCTCCTTCAGAAGGAAGGATGGAGTCCCGACACAGTAAGCCACATTGTCACTCTCTGCAGCTCTGCACTCCCTACCCACAGGGTGCTGTAATTCTATTAAAAAAAAAAGTATGCCTGCCAGGGCGGGGTAAATCACAGTCCCCATCCCCTCCATCCCTGCTCTGCTAATGCACGTGAGAATCGGGTCTGTGGGTAGGCTAGGCAGGGCTAGGTTGAAGCACTCATCAGCATGTGTGACAACTGGGCCAGGAGCATGCCTAGGTTTTCTTTTTGGGGGCAGGTGTGTGGTACAAGTTGAGCCACCACTTGGCATGACGACATGTCACATCAGAATGCCTGGTTAGGGTCCTGGTTACTCTGCACTTCCGACTGAAGTTGTTTCTTGGGGGACAGCAGCTGATGGCTCAAATGCTGGGGTCACAGAGACGCAGATGGAGTTCCGGGTTCCTGGCTTCATTCAGCATTGCCTAGCCCAGCTCAGCCCAGCCCTGGCTGCTAAGGGCTGAACCTCAGCTGCTGAAGAGTGAACCAATAAGTGGAACGTTTCCATCTGTCTCATTTTACCTTTAAAGCAAACACTTTTTTTTTTTTTTTTAAAAAAAGAGGATTTCCGCTCTTGGGTGCAAGCTGCACCATTGGATGGCACAGTAACCTACTCCACAGGCATGGTGAATAAAGCCTCACCAATACCCCAAATACCCAGGGGATGGATGAGCAGAGGTTATGAGGACTTCCCATCAGCTTAGATGTTTGTCATGACCCAAACTCCCATCATAGATATAATATAGTCACAAACCACCCCAAGCTTGTAACTTGCATGCTCTGGGCCACCCATCAGCCTCAATCCTCCAATGAAGAGAATCACGTTAGCCCATGACTGCGCAGGGGCAGCCCATACCTAGCAGCAGGAACTCGAGCGAGGCAGAGGACTAAACTCACTGCTTCACATGGTAGGTGGCTTTCCTGTACTTTACCCAGAGTGACACTAGACCTTCCACTCATTGCTTCTCTAGATATAAATCTTAGTGGATTCTTTGTCTCTAATATGAGTTCCCAGTCTGTCAGAGCCCAGATATCGGGCCTCACAAAGCTTACTAACACTTCTGCATACTGGGATTACTTCCCACTTCAATGTTAAAGCCTCGGAGGACCTCCATTTGTCAGCCTGTTTTACTGACGTAAGCATCTCAGGTGCCTGGGCAGGACCCAGCAAGGAAAGGCTCGCAGCTCACAGCCACACGAACAGAACTGGCCAAAGTCAGCATTGCAGTGCAGCAGGCTAAGCAGCCACCATTTGATGCTCCATACCCATTCAAGTCCAGTTGCTCCACTTCCAATCCAGCTCTCTGCTAATGCACCTGGGAGAGCAGCAGAGGATGACCCAAGCACTTGGGTACTTGTATGTGGGAGACCCAAATGGAGTTCCCGGCTCCTGGCTTTGGCCTGGACCAGCCTTGGCCATTGCAATCACATTGGTGACTCATGGATGGATGGTCTCCTCTATCACTCTGCCTTTTAAATAAGAAGGGAAGGGAGGAAGCAAAGCCTGACTTCGTAGCTGGAAAATCCCTGGTGTAGCTTCTTCGGGAAAGGGCTTATCCGTTGGCCCTTGTATTCCTACCCCACAGATTCTCTTGCCCCATCTGGTTCTAAAAAGAATTTTGCTTTTCTGCAACTTGACTTCCAAGGAAGCTTACTACTTATAGGAGTTCTAAAGGGAAGAACAAGCTGCATACGAACCCAAGAACTACGCCGTCATGCACATGCTGTCTGTAAGAAGACTGGTTTTCAAAGACCAGACTTACAGCAGCACACACCTTTAACATTCCACTGTCATCCCTTGGGTTTCTCTGAGTGTTAAGTTGTTGGCATCGCAATACCACATGCTTGCTCTAGATATCTGGAGTCTGTATCATGATAATTCCAAGTACAAGCTGGCGAGTGTGAAAAATCAAGATTTCAGACACTCCTTTAGTACAAGTCGAGCCAGTGTGCCAGCTGAGGAGTCCAGCTGCTCTGCACCAACACACATGTGTTTGTGGAAGAAAACTTGGCTGTCACCTCCCAACAAAAGTGGCACAAGGTCTTCAGTTAGCCCGGCCCTGGCCTTGGCCTGAGAAGCTGCTCACGAGGGCGTGTTGAGCTTTCCTTCTCGGTCTCAACTCTGGCTCTCAGCAAAGGTGCTGATAAAGCTAAGCACAGGTCTTTCTCCACTCCCTGGCAACAGCTGCTTTCAAGCTGTGGGAGAAATGCCCAAGTAGAGTCGTGGACTCTGACATCCAGGGGCTTCCAGGCTGTGCGGAAGTGCAGGGTGCAGACCCAGTCAGAAGCAAAGGGCTCAGCTGGCTTGCTTCATGCCAGGGACCCACCTCCCAACCCCAGCTACCCTCCTAGAGCTAGGCCCACAAGAGAACACAGACCAAAGCGATTCTAAACGCCCAGGGAGTGGGTGGGCTCTTGCTCACAAGGCAGGCCTGGGGCTGTTCACCCACTGACCCGTGAGCTCATGAGATGTGGCCCTGCCAAGGTAATGGCAGGTGGACTTGAAATGCAGTAAGTCTACACCAGGTTACTGTTCAAGTTGATCATTTCCTATGAGCTGTGACTGATGTCACAAACATGCAAAACCCCTTAACCCTTGCAAATAAGTTCTCCACATCTAAAAAAAAAAAAATCAAGATTATCTTTGAGAATGGAGAGATGGCTAGCTTTTAAAAAAGATTAAACTGTCTCAAAAGTGATATGCAGGGCCCAGCGTGGTGGCCTAGTGACTAAAGTCCTCACCTTGCATGCCCCAGGATCCCACATGGGTGCTGGTTCTAATCCTGGTGGTCTTGCTTCCCATCTAGCTCCCTGCTTGTGGCCTGAGAAAACACTCAAGGATGGCCCAAAGTCTTGAAATCCTTCACCAACGTGGGAGACCCAGAAGAGGCTCTGGGCTCCTGGCTTCAGATCGGCTCAGCTCCGGCCATTGCAACCACTTGGGAAATGAATGGATGATTCCTCTCTGTCTCTCCTCCTCTCTGCATATCTGACTTTCCAATTAAAAAAAAAAGTGATATGCAATCTAGTCATATTTCCAAAAAAAATCAAGTTAAAATCAATAGACTGAGAGTTGTCAAGC